CATGTTTTTTTATCAGACAGTATGAAATGAACGTAGGCTCACATGCATTCGCATTGGATTGTGAAATAGATTTTAACGTTACAGGGCAAAATGACCTTACAGTTCAAAAGCAATTTAACACCTGGATGCTAGGCTGAAACAGTAGTAGATTGTAGATAGATTTCCTTTGATGCTAATGGCCACTAAGATTTGTGATCTTCTCAAGAGAAATGTGCGATAACCAATATATATTACTTATGTATTTTTATTGTCAACAGACATACAGTATTTTGAAGGATAAAAGAAATCTATCTCAATCATAGTACATTAAACTAGTTTAATTTCAATATATATTGCGTAATTGAATAAGAAAAGGGAAAGATTTTGTTAAGCATTTCGTCCTACGAAATGGTTTCTTTACACTAATAGCGTTTTTATCGATAGAACTAGCAGTAGAGCCCGGCGTTGCCCGGGGATGTAACAGTAAGAGATAGATCAAATATCGACCATCATAAAGACTGAAAAATAAAATTGACAAAGATTATTGTTTAAGGTTGACGGACGCATGTCTTAATTAGTTTTTTTTTTTTTTTATGAATTGGTCAAAAGCCAAACTCAAACAATAAACATTGTTTTCAATCGTTATGAGTCTACCGATTGAATAGAATTTTATTATAAACAATTGTCTTGTAAATGGAATTTTAAAGCATTCTGAATGTAAAAATAAAAAAAAAAGTGTGCAAGACAATAAGAAACACTACCTACTAAAAAAAAGTGAAGTCTTGTTGAAATCGTTTGAAAAATGTAGGAAATCCGATCACATATATAAACGAACACACACACACACACACACACACACACACACACACACACACACACACACACAACCTGGGTTTTATAATAAGTATAACTCGATATGAGTTGTCTCCCTTTCATTCTGGTGACTTAATCGTGTTTTCAAATTGATTTCGTGCAAAAACAACTGTGTTTTTCCAAATTTTGGCGCTGTCAGAACCACCACCGGGTAATTTTACGTAGTCCTGTGAAGTTTTATTTGAAATCAGTTTGAAAAATGTGGGAAATCCGATCCAATATATAAACACACACACACACACACACACACACACACACACACACACAACCTGGGTTTTATAATAAGTATGATTATATAAATATTAAAAAGAGGGGAAAAGCTGAAGGGACGATTAACTTTGTATATATATATATATATATATATATATATATATATATATATATATATGTGTGTGTGTGTGTGTGTGTGTGTGTGTGTGTGTGTGTGTGTGTGATAAAATATAGTTCTAAGAAATGGTATATTTATGGGTTAGAGTGGTATATAACAGGGATGGAGTGTATGTAAATATAAAAGTGAACACTGAAATCAACACCCAGAGAAGTCAGATATGATTCTTACGTACGGTCTCGTGAATGGTAATTGACGCGAAACTGCACAGGTATATTAGACTGCTTTTCCAGCCCGAAGGCTAGGGCAACTTGACGGGTGTTGATACTTGGATCGTCTCGGACAGCCTGCAAAAAGTGTTCTTCGTGTTCATGCGTACGAGCGGATCTCGGTCTTTCTCGATACATAGTATGTGTTAACAAGGATCCTGTCTCAGCAATGTGACGATAAACAGCAGCAAAGATGGGATGACTCGGCTGCCTTTGATCTCGAAACGCAATCTGATACAGCCGTGCAGCGTGGTCATATTTAAAAATCATATCTGCCTGCTCACGATATGAATATCCTACCATTTTTAAACGGAACACTTCTCAGTTTTACTGAGTGCCAAACGTAGAAGATAGACTAGCCACAAATGTACACGAATGACAAATGTAACCTAGTCATCCACTGTAAACTTACTTTAAAATTAATATCACAAAAAGGAAGGATTTACGCATATATGTTTATATGGACTTACTTTTGTTCTGTTTTGGTGTGAGCAATTCGGTCCCAAAGTATTTAAAAGTATTTTTCATACACCATATATATATATATATATATATATATATATATATATATATATGTAATATCTTACATTACTTACACAAGTCTGAGTTTCACGCTAAAGCAATTTTCAAGTGCTGCAATTATATTTATTTTTATATTTTATTTTAAATGAAAATAAACATAATTCCAGCACTTGAAAATTGCTTCGGCATGAAACTCAGAGTTGTGCAATTTATGTAAGATGTTATCTATAATTCTTAATGTATATATTAAATAGCTCTGTTTATTAACATTGAACACCCTTTTGTTTTCTTACACTATAGAGTATTTATATGTATACGATCGCTCGTATACCTATCTATATTTACTCATTCAGTTATATATATATGCGTAAACTGGAGCGAATCATGCTTGGCATCACATTACGTGACAGTAAATGTGACACCTTGAATCGACAGAAGGCTGGAATGAAGGACATAATCAAGGCCATCAAGAAGGGGAATCATAGACGGGCAGGGCGCCTCTCGTCTCAGAATCAACAGTTAGGCTATTAGAGAGAACATTAGAAGGTTTTTAGAGTGGAAACTAAGGTAGTGGAAAAGAATGAGAGGGCACCCAAAGACTAGGGCGCAACGATCTGACCCGATATCTCGGCCCCACATAATCCAGCATAGCCAGAGTTAGGAAGTGATGGAAGTCAATCAGGGTGGGGTTCCTGCAACAGTAGTTAGATAGAAATGCATATAGATAATCGGTATGAAATTATTTATATTGTTTATAGTAAGAAATGTTCTAGTTACATATGACAGTATTCATTTACGGATTGCGCATATTTCTATATTTTGTGTGCATTTTTTTTACCACTCAACTAGGGCAAAATGTGACACGTGGTTTTTTGTGTGAGTTCTTGCCAATATGTTCCAGTGGTAGGTTCAGTATAATATAAGTGTAATGTGAGGTGATAATGATTTTTTTTTCGTGTCTGTGCGTCTGTGTATGCATGTGTTTTGTGTGAGGTCTTGTCTTAATAAATATGACTGTCTGGTTTCTGCTTCCGTAAAGAGAGAGAGAGAGAGAGAGAGAGAGAGAGAGAGAGAGAGAGAGAGAGAGAGCAGGTGTAGTAGCTGTTTTTCACCTATCTGCCTTCACACTTCTGTAATGAGGGATTAATAGTCCCGGGGGCAGTAATTCCTCACTCACTGGTGGGTTAATGGATACCAACATCTGCATGAATGTGATCACGGGGACTAGGCAATTTTTGTCGTTGGACCATATATACGCCTATGGGCACCCCACGTTAAACGGACACGTATCATGTCCGTAGACGTGTGGAGGTACACACTCCCGCACACAGACACACACGTACAAACAAACGCACACACACACACACACACACACACACACACACACACGCACACACAAACACACACACACTCACACGTACACACACACAGACAGAGGATCTAAGGATTGCCTTCGTTTGTCTTCTTGTTAGTAAATTTAAGTTATTTCCACGTATATTTATTTGCATGTGCTTATACGTGCGTGAGCATCTGTGGTTGCGTCTGTCAATGGTTAAAAATAACTAAAATGGATACTACATCCAACTCGAAGACCAAATAATGCCATAATAGAGATGTTGATATTCCACATGACTTCAAATAAAAGGTTAGGAAGGAAACACCAATCACTACTGGAGAATAGAGATAGCAGTTGCTGGATCTGCAAAACCTATTTTCCTGAAAATTGTTTTTAACGAAAAATTTTTTATAAATTTCAACCAATGGCGGTACTGGCTGCTCGCTCAATATTATTTGTGTGTGCACGAGTTTGAGTTAACACCTCAGTTTTTATTTTCTCATAAAGTGGAATTCATCAACCGGCCTAGATCAAGAATTCCTATTAACTAAAGATGTCTCTCGACAGGAATCGAGCCTATATTCCCTTTCAGTCGGTTATGTGCAATGCCATGCGTGATACATACTTAGGCGATCATGTATCTTTCAATACATGACTGATGAGGCAGATTTTTTCCCGCAGTAGGTTGCCATTTATCTCTGCGGAAAACCAGTTACCATCCAAGGCTATAAAACCGGGTCTGTCTTGCTATTTACCCATACCTAGAGAGTATTCTTACCTTTCCCAAGGGTATTAGTATGTAAGTGAATGTAATGGATTCGACTGGAATTCGAACTCGGCTATCCGAGCCGATATCCACTACTCCACCCTTTACCAGCGTGGAAACCACTCCTAGAGTCTAGATGTCCTTACCAATTAGGCGATCAGAAACCCTCATGATAAGGTAATGTTCAATTACCTACATAAGAAATACACAACTCTGGTTGAGACCTTTCTGCTTGTTTTATTTTCGTACCCCAAATCTAAACAAAGTAATTTTAAATTGTTTTTTTTTTTTTTTTTTAAACTGACATTTTTTTTATTACTATAAACGTTAATTTTGCCTATTCATTTAATGGGTAATTATGTCTTATATAATGGTTTACTGTGGCCTAATTGCTAAGGACCCTCTTCGGCTACAGGAGTAGATTCCCTGGTGGAAAAAAAATGAATAGAAGTTCGATTCCTTTAGGGAGTCATCTTATTCTTTATCCGATCTTCTCGATCTAGGCTGGTCGACATTGTTTTTTCATTGATTAAGAAAATAAAAATATCACGAAGTTGTCAACTCAAAAACGTCTACTCACAAAAATAATATCGGATTTAAAAATCCATTTAAAATTATATCATTCTATGCAAAGGGAAATATATTCTCAATTATTTCCGTTTGAAAGCCAGTGGATAAAAGTCTATTTATTTGTACTCGTTCTCAGATGTTTGGTTTTCTACTTTTCCACATGTGAATCTTTCTAAAATGTCCGTATGCTACACGCCAATTCTTCAAATAATGTATATACACGTACGTCTATATAGGATTCTAAATGCGTACTTTCACTTGTCTCTTCATTTCGTATTTTTGTTTTTACACCCCCAACATCTCTCGTTGGCAGGCCATAAAAAGAAAAATGCACTTAGTGCTGCTGCCAGCAATGTCATGTGCAACATTTATGGTCCCCAAATTGCTGCACCTGCCGGTGACGGGAGCGCGTTTGTGGATGTGGTTAGGGTTACAAGACAACCATCTGCAAACGATGGCTACTAATGTTTACATTTGGGGCTGAAACCTAAGAACGTTTTAACGCCGGCAATTGTTAACAGAAGAAAAAACAAGAAAGCGACGAGCGACGACGATGCGTAGAAACCAATACATCGTTCGCGTCAGGAAAACATCAAAGAGGAAATATCAAATGCCGCCAAACTAATATTGGTTCAAAAAATCCAAGCTGCAAAGTAAATAGAATAAACGAATCTATCTATCTATCTATCTATCTATCTATCTATCTATCTATCTATCTCAGACGCTTCATTATCTATCTATCTATCTATCTATCTATCTATCTATCTATCTATCTATCTATCTATTTCAGACGCTTCAGTATCTATCTATCTATCTATCTATTTATCTATCTATCTATCTATCTATCTATCTATCTATCTATCTATCTGTTTTTATATATCTCCATAAATCTATCTATCTATGGACTTTTTTTTGTCTTACCGAGTTTACCGCGAGCTGTACAAGACATTTTCATTGTATATTCTTCGGAGTAAGTATTAACTTTGTTTGACCCCACCATCATCTTGTGTATCCATTGTTGTCTTTCTTTGTCGTCTTATTCGTCAGAATTGCGTGATTTGTTTCGAATTGTGTTGGGGTGACTAGAGTAGGCCGACATCATGTCGGACCCCTAATCTCTTCCTGCTTCCCCTACAGAAGTAACTCCTTCGGGATGGGCAAGGCATAGGTCCCCACAAAAAGGGTCAGAATATTTCAAAAAATTTTAAATTTTTGAAATATTCGAAGTTTGATCCACATATTAATGGAAATGAGTTATTACCGGTACCGTCTGTATTTGACACGGTGAATACAAGGACAATCTCGTTAGTAACAACGGACCCCAAGACCCGGAAGCTAAATATCGTGACTAGGGAAGTGATGGGGGAGGCCATGAAAAGTCTTTAAATTGCAACCCTAATTCTGGCAAGAAGAAGTAGGTCAATGTTGGACATCTTATTGCCGACAGAAGAGAAAGCCAAATCGTTGGCAGGATGTATTCTAACTACTTCGACAGTCAGGCTTCAGACAGAATACATGCAGACGAGAAAGGCAAAGGTGGCTCTACATAGGGTGCCACTCTTCATATCTGAAGACCATCTTGATTTTTTCTTTTCTAAATATGGGGACGTCTCCGACGTCTGCCCTTTTAAAAATAAGGCCGGAATTGCCACATGGCATATTGAAATCGCAATTACATTAAATCGAAAGCAATTTACGGAAATACCCAACACGTTAATGTGAGAGGGTAGACTTATCTGTGTCGTTGTGGAGGGTCGTCGACCACTTTGTTGGGCTTGTGGGGCTGCAGGTCATTTGCCGAAGGCTTACTCGGGATAAAATCCTGCCCCACAGCCCAAAAAGAAAAATGAAGCAGCAACATCACAGGCAACGGCACAGACAACCGAGAAAACTGGAGAGTGGACGGAAGTCGTCAAGAAGTGACCCAAAAGTGCCACCACTTCCCTTCAACAGCAGAATGAGAGTCTCCAACCAGAGCCAGAGGACCAGCAAGTAAAGGAAGTAGAAATGCAGGAGATGCCCCCACCTCGGTTGTCTTCACTGAAAAGAAGGAGAGAGGAAGCAGAAGAAAAAAAAGAAAAAGGGAAAAAATAAAGAAAACAGACAAGCGAGCTGAAGCCCCAAAACCAAGGCTTAATCAGCCTCAGCTTCGCCAGTCAAGAAGCGTGAAGAAAATACCACAAGAAGCCTTCCCCTCTGAATGCACCACTGTACCCCATTCGCAATACGCCTCCTTATCAAACACCCCCTCCTAATACCACTGCAGCCGATGACATTTCTACTCCTCCCAACACCCCGCTTTCCACCAGTACAATGCCTAGTAAATTCTCAACGCCCAGCACCTCCCAGCAGAGTTCTTCACGTAAGAAGAAATTCTCGAGTAGGGTAATGTCTTGTTGTGTGGACAAGGAGTCAATAGAAGCGGGCATGTCGAAGCAAAAAGGGCTTTGTTGAAGCTCTTGTTAAAGATGGCGTCAGTAGACGGACTTGCTACAGAAGATTCCCGAAATTCCCTAAGGCCGCTGGCGTAATAACATAGATAAAGAGCACAGGCCGAAATCTAATAGCGTGGGATCCGTATGGCGGAAATAGGAACCCCGGAACTGAGAAAGCTACAGAAATATTGTGCAGGGAGGGTCCCAGTAATCCTCCATCCTTCATTAAAACTAACCTACCCTTCGGACGTTGGCGGTATTGTCCGAGATGACGACAGAGATGGGGTCTTTTCATCCGCAGATTTCCGTCTAGTCTGTGAGCAGGGGAATTAACTTGAAAAATGCCTCTCAAGGTAGCTAGTTTGAATGCCAGAGGCTTGAAGTATCGGAGTAAAGCCGCCCGCCTGCTTCGTGATCACTTGTCCTTCGGCGTAGATGTAGCTGCGATCCAGGAGACGCAATTTGCTTGCGAGGTTGATGCGCGTGTGTTGTCTAGCGACTGTTGTCTATTCAGCATACGTGGACCAGCCGGCCAGAGGTGTTTCTTTACTGGTTAAACATATCCTGGATGCGAGGGTTTGACCTTGTCCACGTCGATGCGGGGGGGGGCGGTTGATCGTGGCTGATATTACCGTGAACAGTAGTTAGTTTCGTATCGTTGCAGTTTGTGCGCCCAACGATCAGGAGAGCGTGTCTCGTTTTTTCGGCAGTTGGAGCCGTTCCTGGTCGATTCTTCGCGCTTAGTCTTAGTAGGGGGCTGGAATGCCATTCTGGACCCCACGATAGACAGGTGGCGGGGAGCTAGCGGGAGGTCATTGGGTGATCGTAGCCTGGTTGATCTGATCGACGAATTCGGTATCGTTGATAGATACAGAGCCGATCACCCCGGGCGGGAGATGTGGACGTGGCCGTCTACCCAGGTAGCCAGCTACCTGGATAGAATGTTAGTGAAAAGAGCCGATGTAGACCTGCTAGATTGTCCAACGTTCCACTGGTTATGCTATTCGTCTGTACCCGGATAGCGTTAGATGCTAGGCCTAGAATGGCTGGACACTGGAAGTTCAATCTTTCTTTACTGGACAGGCGGGACTTCCAGCAACAGCGCATCGGGAACTAGTGGGGGCGGTTATTGAAAATAGGTGGTGGGAGAGGCTTATGGGTAGGATTAGGTCCCTCACCACCGAATATAGCCAGAGACTCGCACTAGATAAGGTTAAAAAGGTGAAGACACTTAGATAATCTGTCCCGGGGGTGGCTGGGGGGACTACCTATAGATGGGTTTAGCTAATCAGGCCGTGGAGCGCGCGGCTAGCAAGCGTTACCAGGGCCAGGTAATTAGACATAGGTTGAACAAGATGTCTAACGAAGCTGTGAATATGGCGCACAATTGCGCAAAGAATAGATCCGTCATTCATGAAGTTAAAACCCCGGAAGGGTGTACTCTGAGGTCGACTGACGATATATGCGAGGCGTGTCGGCGGCATTTCGAGATCCAGTTTACCAGGGAGCCTGGTCTCAATGGCCATGTGTTTCACAGCTATTTGGCTGACTTTCCTCGGCTTTCGCCGACTGAAGCGGCTAGCTGTGAGGCGAGATCATCGAGGGCGAAGTCTACTTGGCATTGAAGAAGGCCGGCAGTGGCAAGTTCAACAACTGGTTCCGGCAGGAGTCCATCCTCAGTCGGATCACCAGGGGTGTGATCATGTTGTTGAAATAGGGCAAGGATGGTGGGCGAGATTTAGACGATTACAGGCCCATACCTCTGCTAAACAGTTAAAGATTTTGGCCATGATCTTTACGGAGAATTTGCAGTCAGTTGCCGAGAGTCTGCTGGGACCTGATCAGACTTGTGCTGTGAAGGGCCGAACAATTCAGAGCAACCTGCATCTGATCCGCACGATCCTAGAGGTTGTAAAAGACGACGAGCAAGCCACGCTGATCAATTTGGATCAGTCCAAGGCATTTGATAGGGTCGGCCATCAGTATCTGGCTGCTGTCCTGCAGAACGCCGGATTCCAACCCGACTTCTGCAAGTGGATTAGCCTTCTGTATCGCTTCCCCAGTGCTGTGGTACAGGTGAACGGAAACAGTCGCGCGCTTTTGCGCTGTATCGGTAGGTACGTCAGGTTTGCTCACAGTCGCCCCTACTTTACGCTTTGACGTTACAGCCTCTCCTTCGCCGGCCGAGGGACTACGTGGAACCGCTGTCCTTGGTTGAGCTCGAGCCAGGGTTTCCGCGTACGCCGATGACGTATCCATTTTCGTGTTGTGTCGCAGCGACATTGAGGTGGTTCAGAAGGCGCCTGAACGGTACGAAACATTCACAGGGGCCAAGATTAACCGTAACAAGTCTTCCAGCTTGCGATTAGGTACCTGGAAGAGGGTCTCGCTTCCGGCACTCTTCAGTTGGATGGACGGTCCTGTTTGCATTCTCGGAGTGTGGTTTGGGCCCGATTTCTAGCTGGAGAAAAATTGGTCAGAAATACAGGCAAAAGTCGGAGCGTTTGTCCGGAGTTGTCTCCCAAGGAGGTTGTCCTTGAAGGGTAGAGCTGAGGCGTGTGCCACTTACGTATTTCCTCTCATCTTCTACCACTTGGCTGTACTTCCTCTTTGCAAGGACCATAGGAAGGCAATCGAGCGCTTGCTGTCTACCCTCTTGTGGGGTGAGCGCAAGCAGAAGGTCCGTAAAGAAACTTGTGTCCAACTTCTGTGTCATGCGGGGGGGGGGGTCTGGGATTGTCGTACTTGGTGAGTCATCAACAGGCCTCGAGGTTGGCTTTCCTACGCCGCGTTTTTACAGAGGATTCGATTTTGGTGGGGAGTGTTAGGCACGCCTTCCTTAGCCTTACTATCACTCCTTCAATTTCCTGGGCTAAGTGCCGTCGTAGGCTCGGGAAATTGTTGACTTTCCTCAACGAGTGTCAAGAGGCCTTGAGGGCTTTTCCTCGGTCCAGTGACCTTTGGCCTCGAAAGGTCTTGTATCGTGAATTAGTGGAGGGGGTCGCGAAGGACCTTCTCTGTGAGCGCTTTTTCTGGTCATGGGCGCCAGCGGCGAATTACCTCAGTAACCCTGAGTTTTCGCTTACCTGGCGATTGATCCGAAATGTGCTATCTCTCAACGACATGGCCTTCAGCGGCTGGTCGGATTTGCCCGACTGTTACCGGTGTGACCTTGGTTTTGAATAAACGGCTTTGCACGCCTTCTACCATTGTCCTCAGGTAGACCCTTTCTGGGAATATGTCGGCGAAGTGACGGCTCGTATCGCTCCCGATTAGCTTGTGCTCATCGATCTCGCATACGCGTGTGACAATGTGTCGCCCTAGTATTCTAGGGAGAAACGAATGGTGTTTCTAATGTGGCAAGAATGGTGATCTGGATGACGCGAAAGGAGAGGATCTTGCGACAAGAACGCCATTCTCATCAGGTTCTGATCAGATACTTTCATCATCAGCTGAAAGTGAAGATCAGAACTGATAGAAAGAGTTTGGTGTCGACAGATTTCAACAAAAGGTGGGTAAAAGTAGCGAGCTTGGGTCGCGTGAAAGGGGCTATCCTTGAGTTCCTTTTTAAAGTCCTCTTTCGTCACAACGGGCCGGTTTCCGGTGAACACTCCCCCCTCTGGTTAGACTCTCTTTTGTATACCTAGTTAATGTGAGTGAGTGTCGTTCCTGGCCTGTTCCCGGCTTCTTATTTCTGTTATGAGCCAAGTTGAGATTCCTAGCATCCCAGTTTGTTTTGGCCCCTTTTTTTCATCTCGACTGGTTCAGTTTTTGATTTCCCCACGCCCTACATTTATTTTCCCCCTCCCCCATTCCGTTAGAGAGTTAGCCTCTTGTTTCTGTCTGATGAAAATACAGTGGCAACTCTGATTTTTTGTGGGGTGGACGGGTCCTACTAACTTCAATTATTTTCTGTTAGTTTCTGTTTTATATTTTCTTTGTATTGGGATTTAGAACCCTCCCACTCATATCACATCATCGTCATATATATATATATATATATATATATATATATATATATATATATATATATTATGAACATTTGTACATAAGAAATTTTTAAATCATAGGGTTAATTTTTAGGTTCCCTTTGTGGATGTGGTATTGTGGTATAAGTAGGAGTAAAAGGTGAAGGATGAATACTTTCGGTGAATGGTTTATTTGTATTGAATGAATGGGTCGTGAATCGGGTTAGCTAGGTATAGGATAGATAAGGATGACCATCCTCAACCCCATTCTCCACTTTTTAGACCATGTGCCACAATTATTGTATTTTACAATAATAAATAGAATCTATCTATCTATCTATCTATCTATCTATCTATCTATCTTATTGTTCATTGTCTATCTGTGTATGTATGTATGTAAGAATGAAAAAAAAAACACAACAGAATTAGGAAACATCTCCGTGTCATGAACAGATGTAGAAAATTTATCCCTTGTTTCCTATTCAGGATTGCGTTTTCGGATTTTCATTTCCATTCACTCCCAGTAACACTTAGCGTCTTGGTAGTATCATAGCCTTGCTTGGTGTGAACTGATTAATAGGAGTAGGTAGGCTTTCCTACCGCCCGGTTCCTCCCCCTCTTCTCTTGGACATGAGTAGGGTGCCACGCCTGTGTTTCTTGTTTAGGAAGGGGTTCCCAGTACTCTCTCTCTCTCTCTCTCTCTCTCTCACTGGCCTCTGTATCTCCAGTTGCGTTGATCTATCCACTACTCTTCTCCTCATCCTTTCTTCTATCACTCCTATCTGACCTTGCTCCAAATTTTCTGTAACCCCTTGCGTTCTAGTGGCTTTCCGCCTTGCTTGGGGTGAAACGCTTAAAAAAAAAAAAAAAAAGACTGAAGCCAAATCAAAAACGAAATTTTAACTACCTATCAGTAAAACAATATATATATATACATATATATATATAAGCAAGTGTAAATGGATATAAATCCGACAGAATGAAGAAATTTTGAAAAAACAAACAAAAATCCTTAAATGTAACTACATTTAAGGATTTTTGTTTACATTTATATATATATATATATATATATATATATATATATATATATATATAATTTCACCCTAAGCAAAGCAATAAACCCATTAGGACGCAAGACGTTACTGGGTGTTAGAGAATATAAGAATATATTATTGAGGAGAGAAGACAATGAAAACAAAAATTAAGTAGACAGAAGATAACGATTGATTTTGCATTTAAATTTTTTGAAGATCAAAGTTGACTGGAAAGCAAGAAGTTGAACGAGAGTTCCACAAGCGAGAAGTGCAAAAGAAACTGTCAGTATAGAACTTACGGTTACATCTAGATATTTCAGCTGTAAATTAATGAGACCTTGCCGCCAATCTATAGGTACCATAGAGGAAATCGGAACAGTTACCATGAAAATATTTATAGAAGAGATACAGAAAAGCAACGTTATGGCGACGAGAAAGAGATTGAAGCCGACATGACAGGTTGTTATGGTCCATGTTAAGACCAAGGAAGAACAACGCGAACACAAGAGTAGAAATAACGAAGGTATATTACACGAAATTATAATACAAGATGTGGAAGGTGTTAGTATGACTGTCAGTCTGGTTTGGAGTGAACTACTATCGGCTCGACTCGATTCGACCCTCTCTCTTGAGAGGCGTAGTATACATAGTGTTAGGAAGATTTCATTCTGTAGTTATAGGCAAGGACCCATGACACAGGTCAGGACCAATAACATTGCACATTCTTTTTTGGATTTTATTAAAATATATAGCAGGAGAACCAGACCAGCAATATTCAAAACAACGGCAAATGGTAGACTTATAAATATTCAGACGAGACAAAAGAGAGCAGTTTCGTTTCTGCGGCGTTAAAATTAACAATACACTCCTTGCTTCTTTTAACAAACAGAATGTAGGTCATTTTTTAGATTAGCTACCAATTTAACTTTATCGAACCAAATAGACTTACTATTAAGACATGAATAAATACTTGTATCATCAGCGTAGATACTGAGTTGAGAACTGATGCCATTAACAAGGTTATTTGCGAAAATTAGAAACAGCGTAGGTCCAAGGAAAGATTGCTGTGGAACACCTGAATTTAAGATCTAGAGGAGTGGCCATTCAAGATAACTTTCATTTTACGATTTGATAAGAAAGATTGAATCAGTTCAAAAATCCGTCAGAAAAAAAACATAACCTTTCAACTTATGAATAAAACCAGTATACCAAACCCTGTCAGTTTCCTATCTACAGCAATATCCCGAGCTTCACCATTCTAAAGCTTGACACAGTCTTTCATTAATAATCGTTAACACATCAGCATGTTGATTTAGAGAAGCGAAAACCATATTGCTTATCTGAAATAAGACACTGCGATTTGAGATGCTTAAGCTTAATCAATTCAGAATTAATTAGAGCATCTAGTATTTTGCCAAAAAGGAGTAGAAAGCTAATAGACCAATAGTTAGAAAGATCAGACGCTTAAAGACAGAAAATACAGTAGGTGATTTCCAACAAGTAGGAAATCAAGAAGCAGCAAGGCATTTATTGCAGGGAAAGCATGAAGTTTACATGCTTTGTGACGATCTAGTTTAGAAATGATTGCAGAAACAATGGACGGAGTTATATGCATGTCACTCAATAGAGACTCGGTTGTAAGGGGAAAGTCACGCAATGATACTCCAGATGAGTTAAGAATAGAATTTGGAGAGAATTTACAAGCAAAACATTCTGCTTTATATATCTACTGATAGTCCTAAATATAACGGGTCTAGAACAAGCGTATGTTTTAGTGGTACCTGATGCTGATTTAAATATACCTTTGTCTTATTTTTAAAGTTAAATAAATCAATTCAATTTTCCGCAAAGATTATAAATGGTAAATATGATGCGAGGCTGCAAGTTTAGTGATGGTAATTACGATCCTTAATCAAACCCTATAGATTTTTTCATCATTGTCGGCTTCTTCTCTTCCTTCTTCTTCATTTTCTTCTTCTTCTTCTTCCTTTTTTTCTCCTTCTTCATCTTTTCTTCATCATCTTCTTCATTTTCTTCTTTTTCTTCATTTTCTTCATATTCTTCTTCACATTGTTACACCTTTTTGTTCTTGTTTCACTTTGAACGTCGTCATAATTTTTTCTTTTACTTTTCTTCATGTTATAATTTCTTTGGTCCCGTCCCTCTCGACTCACCCTTCTGCCCTCACCCATCTCCTTTATTTATTTATTTATTTATTTATTTATTATTATTATTATTATTATTATAGCTGTTGTAATTCCTGTTCGTCATCTTACTACTATTCTTTTCATTTATGACCATGGCTGTTATTATATCCTCGACAAGTATTACTAATGCATTGTTTGTCTTAAAATGACTTCACCACCAAATGTTCTTTTGGGAAGGAAATAAAAAGACCCCCTGGGTTTTTAATCACATGATAGCATGGCTTCCCAAGAATTTTCGTTACGCGAGAATATTCAACGACAATAACAATAAATAAATAATAACAGCAGGGAGGGGAAATGAAATAATGAAATTATATTTTTCTGTATTCAGCCATATTAGTAAATACGCGGAGACGCATCCTTGCACACGCACTCTCGTGCGCGCGCACACACACATATACATACGCTTATTTAATCGTGCTTGTGTGTGTATTTATCTATCTATCTATCTATCTATCTATCTATATATATATATATATATATATATATATATATATGCAATACTCTTCGATAAAAACGAATCCAGTTCTCTCAGTCACTGTGTGTTTATCTAAAAATAAATATGCTTAAATTCACTTTCATCCCTGCCGTGTGCCAACAGCTTAGGGGTAGAATCTCCGACTGAAGCCAATTCAGCCGGGTTTCAATCCTTCAATCCTAGATAGAAGCCACCGGACGTCTAGTCACACTGATGAGCTGTGATATAGCGAAACAGTCTGTCTGTGGATGACAATATATGCCCTTGAAAAAATTATTCTGGTTCAGGTCTGTGGATGACAGTATATATATATATATATATATATATATATATATATATATATATATATATATATATATATATATCACTGTCTTGTCCGTATATTGCTTAATATATTGTACAGTAATTGACATCTTTGATAATGGCTTATGTAAGCCGAGAGCTTATATTGGATTAAAAAATATGGATCAGTATTGTAATTTTCTTTCTTCGTTTAATGATAATGTTATTAAGTTTATCAGACGTTATGAAAAGAATTTACATAAAATAAATAGACAACACTTGTCTATATCATTTAATGAAACATGTATGAATATATATATATATATATATATATATATATATATATATATATATATATATTTAAAGTTATTTTGTAGGTAGGTACAAAATTTAATGATCGAAATAAAAGTATAAAACTTAACATTACGAGGCATATTAAAACAGAGCCAAAGCAACCGGTTTCGCTCCGCTCTTCAGGCTTCAATGGGAATTTAAAATTAACACAGAAAATGTACAATAAAGGAATTTTTTTTTATATATTTATTTATTTATTTATTTTTATTTATTTTAATTATATTTTAATTTATTTTATTGTACATCTTTCTGTACTAATTTTAAATCTCCCGTTGAAACCTGAAGAGCAGGGAGCGAAACCGGTTGTTTTGCCTGTTTTAATATGCTTCGTAATATTAACTTTTATACATTTATTTCTGATCATATATATATATATATATATATATATATATATATATATATATATATATATATATATATATATATATATATATGACTAAATGCGAACGTAATCGGAAGCGTACCATTACACTTAAATTTAAGGCATTTCTCGTGTGCTTCATACCTTTATACCATTCAAAAGGTTCAGGCACATTTCGTAATTTTAAGAGAAGAAACATACAGAATTCATTGACCAAAACATTTAGTGTTACTGTCAGTTGAAATTTATAAAATATTCTTATTAAAACAGATTTTCAAGAAATTAGATATCTCAATTCCACTGTTATCGCTTTTTCTATAAAGAAAAGTAAATTAAAGGTGGATTTCCTACAAACATTTTTATTTTTTATTTTTGGTAAGGTTGAAAGTTAACATCTTGATAATATTATTGCTTTTAATTAATTTTCTAACTAAATTTGTTGTTGCTGTTGGAAGTGCCCAAGAAATGTGAATTTTGTTATATAAGTCTATAGGCTCTGTTGGAGGATCGTATTTATCGTCGGTAAACTTTGCTGCTTCGATTCTAATTTGCCCCTTACCATTTAGAGCCCCCCCCACACACACACGAAAAACGCGATACCTAAGATTTAGAAATGAATTTTTAAAAATAAAAAAAATCGTACTTGATGCTTTTATTCTAGTTTTAATTTCAAGATAATAGATTAAATGTAATATTTCCAATAATCAAAATACTTTGCTATATTTCAAAAAATAATCTAAACTGAATAGAAAGAATTTCTTTGTTTTTTTCTAAAAAAAAAATGATAAAGATGTAAAATTAAGATTTTATAAAAGAAAATATTTAAAAAATAATTTCATTTATATGTGAATAAGTCATGGAAATTTCCTTAAAATCCGATAATTATTTGATTTTTGCAAGAATTTTTTTTTTTTTTTTTTTTTTTACGGCATAAAAGACGCTAAATGACCTACACTAATCTTTGGTACACCCATGACATTTTAACCAAAATTTCGAACGTTCTAGAAAGGATTTAAAATTTATCAAAATAATCAAAAAATACTTTGGCCTTATCTCTTAATAATAACATA